TACATCTATTACGTTAGCATAATTATTAGTAATATAATTTCAATAATAAAATTATCCAACTATTAAAAACATATAATATAATACTTACAGTCATCGGTGTCGTTTTAGGAACACATATTGGTTTTACACCGACCCAATGTCCATTACTACAATAAAGCTTGGTGTGTAAAGGATTTTCGAATACATGCCCTCTGATACAATGGTAAATCACTTCTAAATATTTGTTTTTTGGATCAACAGTATTTTTATTCCTATTTAAACACAATTGTTTTTGTAATAATAGTTATCACCTGTGAGCAGCGCAACTATGACATTAATGTAATCACACTTGGTAATACATATTTATAAGATACATCGCAAGACAAAAAAAAATGCTAATAATAAACTTGAAATGTGTATAAAAAAAACTAATTTTTAAAAGATTTTTCGGTTATAACATTACCTACTTGAAATTTTCAATCCTTATATATAAAAATTGAACATTCAATAAAATATGTACTACGAAATGATTTACAAATGTTTGTGATTTTGATAATTATATCAACATTTGAACTTTAAATGCTTATATTGTAAAATTGTTTTCTAATCTTTATTATCTTTGAGCTGCTTTATAGAACAACTTGTGAGTTATGCTTATGAGGAATCTTGTATTAAGGCTATTTGACATTAGAAAAAAAAAATGTAATACAATCTATAAATAATTCAAAAAGATTTTAAATTATTAAACATTAGTAAATACCATATATTGTAATTTATAACGAACAATAATTATAAATTGATCTATAATTCAGAATCCTATACTACACAACTAATAATTTTATTATAAAAAAAAACTCTTCAAATATTGGAACACAACACATAATATATGATCAATAAATTTCGTGTTTATGTAAAACTATTTCAATCTCTTAAAAATGACGATTCTTACTTGGAATACTTTACTATATGTGCATATGGCAACTTAGGTGCCCTCAAAAATTTTTTTCCGTGTCGTTTTCTAAACAAACAGCTCAAATCATAGTCTCCTACTGAATATTCTTTAGCCGAGCTTCTAATCATATGTTTTGGAAATTGAAATGTACCAAGTCCTATTGAATTGATACGTCATGAAATCGACAAAATAGCAATTTATATTTGTATTATTTGTAACAGTATAATTTAAATTTTACCTGATGTCTGTTGAGGTATTTCTGGTGTTTCAATATTTAAAGATTTATTTTCTAACCGCTTTTCGTTATTCTGGATTTTTCTTTTTGAGTCAAGTTTCAATATACGTCTAAAATATTTAAATATAATGATTTAATACAAATCTTAAGAATATTTTAAAGAAGCCATAATACCTACAGCTGATAAAAAATTATTTATTTACAACATTATGAAATATAGTATTATGAATTCATAACTATTAACTATGCAGTAATGCACTATAGGTAGGTACCTACCTGAACGAAAACCAACCTTGTGCCGAACTGATAATATTGTTGTTGTGACCTGCGACATATATAAAAAGGGTATAAGTATGATAATATTGTATTAGTATTAAGTTGTTATTCAAATAGGGCAATATATTATATTATAAATACGATGACAAATATTTCAAGTATTATGTCCCCTGCTGATTTTTTTATCAGTGTAATCTAATATTAACGTTTTATTGATATGTGTAATAATAATAACAAACAATAATAATAAAATACATCCACTTACCAGAACTAGTAAGCCGTGTACACGACGGCACATGTCCGGACCATTCTCCTTCGATACACGTGTGCTTTGTTTGACCTGTCAAAACGTATCCGGCATCGCATTGGTACACCTCCACAGCCCTTCTCCAATTTTTGGATGCCGTGAAAATTGCTTGCCCACTGTCTGGTCGTGGCCGGGGTTCGCAATCCAACGATTCGGAAGAAATAAATGTAATGGCTACAACATTAAGTTTAAAAAATCAAATAAGCTATACACCTACGCAATAAGTACCATTATATCTACAACTAAAATAAAGGCAATAATTTAAATAATATCACCGGAGTATTTTCATAGCACTACTGCACTCGCCCAATCACCCCACATGTGTAACTTAAATATGACAGTGTTTTTGATTTTATATCTTAACTATTTTAACCAAACTGTGAAATAGCATTAAAATATAAAAATTACATAAGCTTTTTAAATAGGTATAATCGGATTTATTTACTATTTAAATGAATTAAATAAATTAAATATTTATGAAACATTACACGATATTTTAAATTATAGTTAATTAAAAAATCAAGATAATAGTATCAACAACAGATGTGTGTAACGGATAGAAAATACTGAAAATAATGTCATGTTTATAAGTATTATTTAAATTATTTTAAGAATGTAATAAAATGTTAAGGTTTTTATTTTTATTTTTTTATATTAATAAACTATTAGATACATAGTGCTTCTAATACCTATTTTGAATTATAAAATTAGTTCAATATCCTGAATTCCTTCTTCATAGGTGGTAAAATGTTTGTACGGCATGAAGGGGTCGTTGGAAGAATAACCTAACTGTGGAAGAATTCAATAGGTAGCGCCATCTAATTTTAAAATCACCAGAAATAATTTAAAATAACACATACCTATATATGTCGTATATTATAAAATATGAACTCACTTACCGATTTGAATCAACAATATAATTTACACAATTATGGTATTAAACAACGAAAACAAGTTAATGCCTATAATGTAAACAAAGTTCAACATATTTATGGTAACGTTATTAATTATATCACTTATTCTACGTTTTCTTAGAATAAAAATAATGATACCTACTGTTCATTTATTTTATTTAGAATATAAATCTATGTAATGTGTATGTTGGTATAATATCATTGTATCAACAATTCGAGACTGAACAACCGTGTACTCCTTTCGCATGCCATTTAATAGTTACATGGCAGAGTGTAATGTAATGCAATAGGATGTTGTTGTATGGATTCACAATTTCAACGATGAACAGAGAATATGAAAATCATACGCTCCACAAAATTAGAATTATTTTTTTAATGTATAAATATCATTAATTTTTTAGCTGGTGGGTGGGTGTATTCGTGGGTGCTATTCGTGCGGTGGACCACGTTATTAATTAATTAATTCAACTACTGATTATTATTTATTAATATATTTATTATTTTTTTTTTTTTTTAATATTAATTTATTTTTACTACGTGTTTCCAAAACACTTTTACCAATCATGATCTGTTTATTTGAATACCTGCATTTTTATGTTAAGCTACATTTTTTTAATACAATCTAATATTTCTAATAAGCACTTATCCTTTTCTCGTCAATAAATCTAAACGTTAAAGTCTCTTTTATGCTTTAAGAAATTATTAAACTTCTAATACTATGCAATAAATATTATACATATTACACGCAATTTCTAAGAAAAAAAAACCATGAGTAGATACCTCAATTATTAAAACATTATATTTGAGTATTATTATAAATGTATAATATATTATATTAATACATAAGTGTCATTCTTTTTTGTAATCATTTTTCAGTACCTATATTATATCATATTATGTCCTTTAATCTACTATTTTCGCTCATTAACTTGTGAATCTATGTAAACAAGAAACTTTGTCACGCACATTTTAAGTTATTGAAAGTGCATTAAAATGTAAAAATTCAAGATTTTTATACAAATACAAAAAAAAATTCAGGATATTTATATTATTATAAATAATTTTTCTTATTCGTTCAGTATTTATAAAAATGATGAATAACTTATTATAATATTTAAAGTTATTGTATTAAAAACAAATAATACGTTATTAGTTTTAAATTTAGAAAATACGACTAAAKTAAAATAATGCGAATAATTGAATGAATTTAAAATAATAAATAAGTCAACTGAATACAAACATTTTTTTAAATATATATTAATGGCTTTTAGTTTTAACTACCAACAGTATTTCATTATACATAGCACTAAACTTTCTATTATTAAAGTAAACATTGATACATAAAGTCATAAACCCCTCTCAAATTAATACTTAGTAACTAGTAAATAATTTACCTATAGTAATACCCAATATTATTGATAATTAAAGTTATTCATTAAATATAACGATAATATGACAATTTTAAATCAACTAAGATTATGTGCCTAAAGATTAGTTTTATAGGCAATAAATTGTAATTAGTTAAACAATCACTTTTAAAATAATATTTACAGTTTACTACAGATTTTACATTATCTTTCCTAAAATTATATTACTATTTTAGTTAACTATTCAAAATTATGCTATATAAATACTTAATTAATCAATTTAACTAACTTAATGCATTGACGATCAGAAAACAAACTAGTAGTTTTTTCTATAAATAACTAACATGACTTTTTAAATATATAATTTTACCTGTATTTACTAATATGATAAATTCGATGACAATTCTAGTAAATTCCATACTTATAATACACCACTGTGAGAAATTACCACGTGAAATACAAAATCAAGCAACTGGTATAAATATGACTGACACGCATGATACCTCTCTACGTAAAACCACAAAGAGCCCGTCTGTCGGGATTTAATATCATTTCCATTCCACCATCCCCACCCTACGGTTTCCGATCTATGAAACGTACCTTCCAGACGTACACGACATTTATTTTAAATAAAAAATTTAAAAAAATAACAATCCAGTCAAAAATACTATGATTAATAAAGCTTGAAAATAAATAAAACATATATAGGGAGGTAAATGTAAGTAAAAATATATATGAGATGAGTATAAACAAATAACAATAATATTATACAACAGTCAATTCGTAAATTTAAATAATGTTAAAAATAAAACATTTGAATAAATAAAATTACAAAAAAAAAAACATAAACACACGCGTTTACAATATATACAAATCTAGTAAAAGATAATAATAAAAATATTGGTCAATGAGTAATGTGTATAAACGTTTTCTTATACTATTTTATAAATTTGACTCATAGTTTTTTACTGACTCCTGTATGTATTCATTATAGAAAGTTAACAAAGGTCTTAATATTTTTAAAAGACAATGGGCTAAAAAAATTTCAGTTAATTTTTCAAAATCAAATTTTATATAATTTAAATAATTAACATAATTAGATAATAATTAATAATATTGAACTATATGAAAAAATAATACTACATTCCGCTGCACGAAACATTATTTAGTTGATTAAATCTGTACAAAAAAAAAAATTATAGGTATATATATTATTCAGTTTTATTTAAAAAATATTCAAAAATAACAATAAAAAATATTTTCWCTTTAAACACGAACATCGCATTATCGATAAATTATAACTTAAAGATTTTTATTTTAAAAACAAATTTTTTCAAAAATATGATAATTCATGCATCGATTTTTTTTTATTATTAACTAAGTTTACCCTAGGTGACATAGGCTATTGGGATATAAGAATTATTGTTTACATCAAGTAGGTACTTTATAAAGGTATTAAAACAATGGATTTGTGTACATATTTTTAAAATGCATCGATCTTATAAATTAAAATATTATATTATTATTATTATCATCCTTCTTCTTCTTCGCCTTCTTTCAGAACTTTATAGAACGGCCATCCTTGTATTACACCAATTTAAGATTCTTTACCCGATATCTTATTTACTCACATTAGCTATTTTCATGTCTTTCTCTATTTCATTTATCCATCTCTTCTCCAGACTTGCTCTCCCTCTCTTTCTTTCTATATTGATTCCCATGACTACTCTCATCGTGTCTAAGTCACCTTTTTCCCATAACATGGTCAGACTATACCCACCATATTTTGTTTATAATTGGTGCCATTCCTTCCCGTTTTTTTCCTGTTCAAATACCGGGAACGGGTACTATTCCTACCCCTAATAAATATTGACCTCACAACTGTGTTTTATAAAATCTACAAATCAGTCTAAATAACATCCTATTTTCATAAAAAAAACCACATACTTCTCTCCTCTTCATCCATCCAGACACCATTTATATTATCCCTATGTTCCTCATTACTTCCAATTTCAGTTTCTTAATACCTATATAATGTTTCATATGCACCAGTTAGCTTCCACCACTTAATTTTTGGTTTCTACCTAACTACTGTTTCCTCTTATTCACTATCCTTCCATTATACCACCACTCTAAGACCTATTATGTGTTCTTACTACATTTTTTCTGGAATTATTTTAAAATATTTACATTTATTTAACTCTCTCCTCATCACATAAAACAATCAATTTGAAACAAAAATCGTTCAACGTATGAAGTATATGCACTAACTTTTCATTTAACAACTTATTCTCAAAAATTAATTTTAGAATTATTATTCAATCACTTTCCCTCATAACTCCGACCCCCTTTTTTATCTCCATGTATACTATATTACCTACTATCATACTCACTCCATTCGTCGTACTAGTCTAACTGGAGTATTTTATTTTGTATTACTACCCATCTCCCAATATCCTTTGATTTTTCTCCTAACCTAACCTAATTTTCTGCACATAACCAATATTCACCTTTATTCTAGTCAATAATATAACCTAATTTTCAACTTTTACTTGATATTATTCCATCATTCAATATACCGATACTTTTTCTGTACCTACCTCTCTCCCACAAGTCGATGTGGTATCAATAGCCCTGGGATCGTATGTACTTTCTTACACCATTAACATCATGAGTGTTGGCAGATACATGCACATAACTGATGAAATGTCTATCAAACTCGCTGCCCCGTTAGTACCTATCACACTTTCCCCACCATCATTCACTCCACCAACTGTGTAATGACCACTAACCTTTTGTCTCGAAAAAAATCTGATATAGGTTAGACCATTTATAGTTTCAGACCTCTCATGTTTTTAGCCTTTTTAAAGTTATTTTGTTTAACCTAGCCCCAAACCTAATCTTCAACATATTTACACCAAAAATTAGTCTGGCACAAACTTATTTTAATCTCATCTTAAGACAGACATTTGCGTAATGTAAGAACACTAGCTCTGATACCATTCTACAGGAAAATGTATAAAAATATTATGAACTTTGGAATGTTTCTCTTTTATTATTAATGAAAAACAATTAAAAATGAATATTAATAAATATAAATAGTGTAGGTCATTACCATTATCATACGCGTTACGGCAAAGGCCATGGTAACCCAGAAAAATCAACAGGTCCACCGAGTCCAGCGTCGGCTTCTAAGAGGCTCATAATGACAGCCATAGCGGCTTCGTCGTTAGTACCCAAATTAGACAACTGTTGTGAGGACGGTGTCATTATATCACCAAGCATGTTCTCAGAGTCACCTAGAATCAAAAGTATGTACATGTTACGAAATTCGAAAGCGGAGCGCAGTTAAAGTTTGAATACTATTGGCATTGGTCGAGTTCAACATATTCACGTCATCCTGGATCGTGGGGTATGACGAAACTGTATCGTCATTGCCAACGTCGCCACCATTACTCGACAACGTGCCTGGTTCGTTGAGCATCGCCAATGGTGAACTTAGAAACTCTAAACGGTCATTGTTGGACTCCTGGCAACAGTAAACATGGCAAGTCTAATACAACTTATAAAAATATTATCATTAATAGAAAAACCTATTCACATACTACATACGACGCCTATCTTTTGCTGAACGAAAGAATTTATAATTTTTTACATTTTGGTTCTTTAAAAATTTCAAAAGTCTGGTTACTGGTTTGTTAAATTTAAATCCAAATAATCGCTTCGCCGTTATTGGTAATACGATTCAAATGTCAAATATTAAAATATACCGATAACATAGGTATTTCCAAAAATTGTAGTATTTTATAAGTTATAACAAAAAATAAAAATGTAAATTTGTGAATATTTCAAATGTCTTTAAATATCTCAAAAAAAAGAAAAATCATTTTCTATTTCATAAATAATAATTGTTTGATTTATCGTAATAAGATAAGTAATCATTTAGAATCATTTTTGAAATATGTATATTAAAACCTTATTTATTTTATTTACATTAAATTAAAAAATACTAAAATATTAGATTGTAATATTTTGTTTAAGTATTTTTTTTTAAATATTATTCTTTTTATGAAAACTGAAAAGTTATTTCTGCGAAATTAACAATAACTTCTTCGTATTAGTAGATTCAGGTAGGTAATGTAAATGTGCGATGTTGTACTAAATTATAATTAATAGCCTTACAGATTTTAAGTTCTAACAGTTTGTCATTTATAGAAAATTAAATTAATAGTATCGTCTTAAATGTCTAATATTGCAAAAATCTATTTGGTTAATGTCTAATAATTCAAGTATAATTTCACAGACCTAAAATCATCATAACTTCAAATTTAAGTCCCAACACCAAATTTTATCATATTATCTAATATTTTTGTCGAATAAAAAATAATAAAAAGGTATATATTAATAAATTATTAACTAACTTTAAGCTTCGATAAATACTAACTAATTTTTCTATTGTATCCTTTAGAGATTGCGGAGAACTTTCGATATCACAAATTGACTGCTTTACATCCAAAGTAGTATCAACAATGTGCCGTCCGATTTTGTTTGCTTCTATATGTGAAGAAATCAAGTTTTGTATTTCTCTATTACCCAGCTGTTGCTGACTTTTTGACAATTGTTGTTCTGTAAAACTATCAAAGTTATTCTGTGATTTCCCCTGTGAAGAGCATTCTGATTTGTTGCTGCTATCGGGTTTGAAATCTGGCCTAAGAATAAAACAAATTAGTGTTATATTTAAAACCAATATTAAATTTGTATAATTATATGAAAAATTTGTACTTAGTCAAAATGTTATTTGCGACAATAAACTCTATGTCTTTAGTCCAAGGATTTCGAAAACTTTTCCATTCACTTCGTAAGTTTACAAATGTTTTGTTTTTAGCCCGAAATTTATAAATCTATAGTAAACATAATATTATTTACATCTTTAAAATTCGAAACCTTCAGTATACTTTTGCGTGCATTATTACCTCTGTATCTTTTGGCGTAGGCTCTTGAAGTGTTGCTTTGTGGACATCTACAAGTCTAGCAATATCAYCTTGATGAAAGTATTCATACATGCTAGTGCCTAATAATTCTTGAGGTAAAAACCCAACGATGTACGTGACCCTGTAACCGTATCAAATGCTCAAGCATACAACTATTGACCATAATTAATCATGTACGGTTTACCGTTGATCCACAGACAGAAATTTTCCGTCAATTGTATGTTTTGAGGTGAAACATGGCGGTTTTACTATGTCCGATAGAAGTGACGAGGAAGACAAATCATTAATGATTCTACCAACGGCTACCAAACATGATGTATTGTTTGCAGATCCAGGATCCGCTCCAACGCCATTATCATCATTATCTTCTTCTAATCCCAAACTCTTCCCAGATAYATCCTCACATTCATTTATCTGCTTCCAAGGTTTCAGATAACCAGTACACTGGATTACATTATAGCGTTTATCTAAAGATGTAAATAGATAGTTATCATTGTTTATAAGAATCTTATAAGGTATACTTTGTGCAAAAAAACTGGTAGGTATTCTTAATGATCAAATCATATATTTGTGAATACTTTTTAATTTTTTAATAGCTAATAAATAATAATACAGTTCTAAAGTGTAAAAAAAAATGTATTATTAATTTAATAAACTTAACACACTCTAGTAGTTTAGTAATACATTTTGTGTAATGTAATCGAAAACAATCTTCGCGTTATGTTGACATATTTCACCCATTAAAAAGTTCAATAACAGTATAGGTATATTATTTTGTTATTAATTTAAGCTATGGTAGGTACTGATCTCGTTATTATCTCGACTTGTTACAAATTGTTTATCTCCTATTTAATACTTGACACACATTACTCGCGATGAAATATATTATGTATTTTTATACCTGATTGAGTATACTTTGATCCGGTAGTCGTGTCTGCTTCTTCTTTTATATCATATACTTTACTCTTCATTCGACAAAAGAATGACCTCCTAGCTCCACTACACATTTTTGACGATGTATTCATCATTTCAGCACGCACCGGTAAAATTTCTGTTCCAAAAATAAAAACAACCTGTTATGTTTTCTATGTAATATTTATATTAACATAAAATAAAATAACATATAATTTAAACTTACTATTTGAATTGATATATTTATCTCTAGGTCCGAAGTCTGAACAGGAGAGTTGTTCCTTCACTTTAGCTACATCTTTCGGATGGATATAATCAAAAACATTATTTCCGACCAAGTCCTCCTGCATTTTATATACAAAAGTTAATCTTACGATTATATAAAAATTCTAATTGTTTTACATATAAAATTGCACACTTACTGGTATATAATTCAGAACCTGAGTCACGGATTTTGATATATAAAGTATCTTTCCATGATCACAACTTACAGCGAGAACAAAACCTTCAGCGGCCTGAAATATATTAATATTAGAATGTTTTAAGTTAAGTAGTCCGTTAGTAGGTATACAGTCTATACTCTACCCACGTTGTAAAAATTTAGTATATGGTCTGCAAAAAATGTTTGGAACTAATAAGAATAACTATATAGATTTACAATTAATCTACCCATATAAATATAATGAAAAAGCGTATTTGGTAGAAAACTAGAAAGGAACTAAATTCTAATGTTGTTTAATGGGCCGTGCACTTAAAGACTGTCGAATACAATAGATTAAAATCATTTATAACTATAAGGTGACAAAAAACAATATTTAATATAGTTACGAAAAGGGGTGGACTAGTGGATATACCAACCGCTCTGCAGCATACATTGGGTGTCATGTAGGTCACTATATAGATATGTTAGATTTGAATTCAATGATATAAAACCGTGTAGTATACGTGAATGTTCAATGTCGTAAAAATATGAATTTCAAACGCTCATAAGAAATTAATACCATGTCTTTCCGGTATGAGGAATTTGTGTAAATTTTTTAAATCTTTGATATTAAAAAAAACATATTTATAAATTTCCAATTTGAAATAATTTTCAAATTCTAATGATTTTGTCAAAATGTTACTTTCAGATGCTCACAAAAAATTATTGTGTATTATTTACGCTGATCTTTATATTCATATAAACATCTGATGAAAATGAAGTACATACAGTGATTCGTTTTTTAGTTGAACAAGTTTCATTTTCTCACCAGAAAAGATGCCGAAGTAGAAAATCAGAGCACTTTTAATTTTTACTGTCCGAAAAGGCGATGAGTAGATAGAGAGAAAACATATGTCATTTAGAAATCAATGTATTCGTCGTTCTGCTTAAAATCTAATTAAGCGACTAACAATTTTAGCTTGATTTAAAAATAGACCTTCAAAAATAATATTAAGTTTTGAGGTAATGTTTTCCCGTTAAAAAGGTTTAGTTTATGCGGATTCATTATTAAATCGTACAATACGCCAGTTTATGTCTCAAATTTCAATGTCTCATACACATTATACTCACAATTATTTTATTTGTCGTCAAAACCCAAGCATCATTGTACAAAAACTGGTTATTACATTGGTTTGAATAATTAAATATTAAAACTGTAAAATATTGTTTTTTATTTGTTTCGTAGACATGCTTTTTTTTTTTCACTCGTATAATAACATTGGGTTAAAGGGATTAAAACAAATTTCAGGATTTTCAGATTCATTAGATTGACTATTTTCAGTAACCGCAGGTCAAAAATCATCCCGTTTAAATTTTTTTGGACAGGGGGACATGATGCTCAAAATCGAGACGTATCCTAAAACTTTTAAGAGTAGTATACTTACGTGTGTGATCAAAGTTTTCAAGTCTTTATCAGATAAAAATGAAGGCTTATAATGACCCTCAGTGTATGAATTGACGGTACTTCGAATTGTCTTCATATGTTGTACGGCCATCCTGAGCACAGACAGTTTATCTAACTTTCTTGGCATAGAATGACACATTGGTATCATACTAGCGAGCTCGGTAATATATGAGTTCATCTTATCTCTTCTACGTTTCTCAATTTCACTGTGATTATGTCTAAAATAAAGAAATATACGCAAATTAGCTGTTAATTTATATGTTAATGTACTTTAGTCATATTTTGTTTATATACTTCTCTAAATTAGCAATACCTGCCCAACTACTTATAGTATAAGCTAATTTTAAATGTTAAGCATAAGAATGAAATTAACTAATTATATTATTTTAATTTACAGCCTGTAGACTTCAAAATTGAAAATACAATACGATATGTGATCACTGAAAAAATTAAAACAGATTTACAAAATATACTGAAAGACAGGAGAATAATAAATGTTATAACATAAAATATTCATATAAAATAACGTTGTAAAAGAAGTTTGATAAGTGATCTTTAAATTTAAATATAATGATGAATATGTCACAAAAATATTTAGATAAAATCAAAAAATCACCTATCGTTGTAAAACAGATAGCCTATTTGAACATTTTTATTTATAATGTAATTCACATAACTTTATGAAAAAAAAAATCCAAGGCATTTTATTTTTAAGTGAAATTTAAACATTACTTTTTGCTATTGTCATTTCGAACAGACCTTGAATCATCATTGTTGTCATCGCCAAAATCGCTACCACTATATAAACATAAAAAAATTAAAACAAATAAATAAATTGGTGTCAATAATTTAAAAAAAAAATGTACTTATTATTTAAAATCAAAATTTTCTTTGCTAAGCTTGTAAAGAACCTTAGAGAGTACCTATATCAGATATGTAGACAATTAATAATATTCCGATAGCCAAAACGTTTGTTTAAATTATTTTTTTTTAAACATGATAAGTACTTAGATGAATGTTTACGATTCAGTAAATATAAATCCCATAAGTACTTAAAAATTAAATCTGCTGTCTCCAGGTTAATTAGATTTAAAATAAATATATTTGTTTTATAAATGATTTTAGATTAATTTAAATTCATATAATCATTAATCAAAACATTAGATATCCTTGATACAATTTCAAATTAATTGCACAATATTATTCAAAAATCATATTAATTGTTTTGTTTTAAATGAACAAGCGGTATAGATATCTAACTATTTTTAAGCATATTATATTATTCAATTTTCAATATTTAGATAATCAAACTCATTTTAACTGATCTAAAAACTAAATATGATATATTAATGTGCAATATATAATTGTAATGCATAATACAAATTAATAGTTTTTACTCAATAATGATGAAATTGATTTAAAACATTAATCACAACAATATTTAAAAACCAGTATAAAATACAGTTAATATATAGTTAAYATAATAATATATCACAAACTACTGTAAAAGTATATTAATGARCTCATTATTATGATAATATAAATAATGTACCAATTGAATTAAGTATTTGTAACTTATAACACTATTTTATTTTATAATTAATTTGTGAAAGTAATTCATGAACACAAATAGTATAAATATAACAAATTTCCATTTTTTTAATTCATGTTTAGTTCAATACTCGATTTAAAAAATTTWATTTGACAAATTTTATCAATTGAAAATCATTATTTAACAATTATTAACGTTTTAACGATTTTAGAATTTTTTAACAATCAATGGAATATTATATAGTTATAGGATAACAGTTTAAATATTTAAAGTTTAAAATCACATTAAAAGTTATATACATTAACACTTAAGATAGTGAATATTTATATATATTACCAATACTTACTGTGCAGATCCTTTCCTTTTGTTTTTGTAATGTTCATCTCCACTCAAATCCATACTTACATCTGCTGTAGACGAAGCTAGTCGGGTACTGTTTTGCATATTGTATGAACTTCTAAAAATATTGTATTATTTGTATTATTTTTTTTTYCTTTAATTATTTACAAAACATTGATTTTCTAGGGATATTTAACTACTTACTCCTTAATATTTTCAGATACGGGTTGTAAATCATAATAAACAAGCTGTTCCATAGGACTGTCATCATGACTCAAGTTATCGAAATTCATTAAATCACTATGATCGTGTAACAGATTATTACAATAAGAATCAAAATCCGAATTTCTAGCCATTTTATGACTTTTTGAATTTTGGAGGAAGCTAAGGTTTTACGAAATAAGTGCAATGTACAACTGACTCTTGTAAGTATCAGGTCCAATAGTCCTGAAGAATCTCTTCTGCGAGATATTCTAGGGGGTGGTTTTGCGCGACGTGATCGAGCCTTACCATTGGCCGACGACAAGTGTTTACGTCATTTGTTAGCACKATTTCAATTGTACATATATACATTCCAAAAACCAAAGCGAAGGAAAAAATATTAGAAGCCATTTGAATAATGTTATAGATTGTTGTAGTCTATGTGATGCATTAAAATAGTCACTTTATAATATTGTATTAGGTCTATAGGAAGACATTACAATAACTTTTGAATAACTATTGTTGTGTATTTAATAAATCCAATATTTAATTTTATTTATACTTTTAGAGTTTGAAATTTCTTAAAATTATTGTTGTTAATAATTATGAAAATATAAATTTTCCAAAAAACCTTTTTATAACTATTAACTGTACGAGTATATGAATAATGTTTTGTCTAACTAAGGATTAATTAATATTTATAAATAAAATGTTCTAACATTTTTATAAAAAATTATTATTTTGCATTGTTTATAAAATATGCATATCAATATAAGTACATTTTCTAAATAATAAAATTAAGCTTCATCAACAAAAAAAAAATTGGAGGTTAACTAGTATATCAAATAAAAATTAAATTAATATTAAATTTTAGAAACTTCTAAATGTTCCTTAATAGAAATAAAGTGATTGAAAACACTTTATTTTTATGTTTACAATCTACCTACGTCCTACCTATATACAAATATGTAATATTACATAACTTAATATAATATTTATGTTTAAATAATTGATCGTACCGTGAATAATGTCTTTTTCTCGGCTTCATTTTAGATCTTTTCCTGAAATATTATACAAAATTAATATTAGTTATTTATTATTGTTTCATGTAAATGATACCTGAAATTGAGGTAACACCTTTATAAGTTTTTGGAAAATTCGAGTATGAAATCCATTTTTAACTTGCCCTAGAGGAAATTAATAATGTCCACCCTGTTTGTCTGAACCAGAGATTCCTGCCCTTCTATTGTTACTCACACAGAAGGGAAAATACAAAACCAATAATATGCGTGATACGTCACTGGCATTATATTTGTTTTTAAATATTCAGACGTAACGGATATCTACTTAACCAAATAATTAGAATGTACAGCGGGAGGTACACCTGTCAAATGCATCCCAATAACATAACATTTCCTTACATAAAATTACAAAAAATATGTACTGTAAAAACCTATTCAACAAATAATCAACGATCTCTATACATAAAAATTACAAATAATTTTATAGATATTATTACTCTAATAAATATATTATTGAATATTGATTATTGACCCTACACTRAACATAATCCAGCCSAGAAATGCAGTGTTCCCTAAATTGGTGAACCCACGGTATAATATGAAATATAACAGAACATATTAGATAAGTAAATTAAAGCTGAAAAAAAAGTATTTCTTTCTTATAAAATATTTCATCGGTAATAGAATCACTCAACTACAGTTATTTTAGTATTTGTTAAATACAATAATATGCAAAAATTAGTAAACCTATACGGCTATACATATAATTACGTGTAAATTATTTCTATTTTGCTTATTGGCTATCACTATAGAGATGTAAGTATCAAATCATGAAGAATAATATAATACAATAAAAATAAAAATAAGATATACTTTGTTAAACATAAAAAAAATTCCAAATGTTAATTTTTTCTTTTTTTTACGATAGTCATTTCAATCACGAATACCAACTTTCATTATTCTATTCAATCTTTACAAATTATATTGTAATTTGTAATTACTATAAAATTGATTTTAAGTGTATTAATTGTAATATTATAATTATTGTAATGTCTCTTTAGAACCATCACTAATTTTATGTTAAAACCGTGTACAGAATCATCTATATATGCATGTGGTACCTACATATAGTTAATGGTAAAAAATATTTATCCAGGTATGGGGCGTGTTTTTGATACATGACACAGTTAAATAAAATAAACATTACTCAAAATAAAAAAGTGCGGGATTCATAGGTRTATAGGTAACAGTTCGTTAAAAACCATATGAGATTACTGATTGAATATGACATATATTTATACAATTTTGGCAAATAATGATATGACAATAGTACCATATTATGGACCTAAACAGTTCAATCTTTAATATACCTATTAAAGTATTAATACAACATCAGAACGATAGAGTATAATAATATAATATTATGTAACTATCAACCAGGCTCAGATTGGTCTGAGAACTACCGAATACCGAGCAAATATTGGTGGGCTGAACAAAATCTATACATAAACGTAATTATGTAATAACATGTTTTATAACTACATTATGTAAGTACTAATTAGCTATATATAAATACAAGCTATATCACGGTTTGTAAATGGATTTAAAATCACATTTAGAACGAAAACCGAGAGAGAAATTTAAATTATAATACAATTTATAAATGTTAGKTTAAGTATATTTATACATGCAATGAGTTCTAACAAATATCTAACAATTTTCTAGTTTTKGTAAAAAAAAGTGCATATCGTTTTATTCTACAAAGTGATCGATGGAAAATATAGGTATGAACTTTAAATTTGAATTTAAACCTAATATTGAGACATTTAATTTCTTTTTCTTATTATTGAACCATAAAGTGACATTTTGGGATCAGTATAACTTCACAAGCCTATCCGTTTCTAAATATATAATTTATATTATATAACTTCTAATGCGTTAGGTACATCATATTACTGCAATAGGTACTGCTATATAGACAGGCACGTTAATAGACCCGTGAGAGGTGGTATTTTAAAATTAATTAACAAACTAATCTTACATGAGTTAGGTACATGACTATGTCAATAAAACTATTTATTTTTTTTTACAATTTGTAGGAGGGTTAACCTATAAAATTGCTCGAAAGCTCGTCTTTTTGAAATATAACATACGTATAATATCATGTATACATTTAGTTATATGTGTATTTATCTATATGTATTATATTTTATGTAAATACCGACATAGATGCTCGTAGTTAGATATAAACGAGTAAAGAGTATAACAAATAAACAGGATAGTTACTGTTTTTTTTTTTTTTTTGTAAAAGACCATTCCATATTATATTCCCATCTTGGACGTATTAATAATATAACCTAGTTCTTGTAAGGCATCTACACCACACTCATATTATAGTGAACAATATGTTTAAAATTTTCACAAGTATTTGGATAATAGATATTATTAGGTGTTAATAAACACGACAAAAAAAAAATTATCACTATGTATTTATGTATTTTTTAACTGCTATTGTAAAAATATGTTAAGAGTCTTGTATTAAATTTTCAAATCTTAGATATAAAAGGAAAATTTTTTATGAATTTCAAGCATAAAATAAATTGTGAATTTTCGTGATTTTTACGTATGTTGTTAAAATTCAAAGTTTAAATGCTTATAAAAAAGAGGGCAAGTTGTGGATGTCGATCTTCTGTACAGTAGGTTACAAGTGGGTTACTGTAATGGATGGAATTAAATTTGAATCCAATGATATTATATCATTGTATACGAAAAACGATTCTGAGCGGAGACGGTTTATCTGTCTAGGATATATTATAGATTATTAAAAATTTTCAAATCTTAAATTTAAAAAGAAAAAAGACGCTCAAATGTTTTGAAAATTTTACTATGTCTAGGTAAGGCTAATATAAGTAAACAACCCAAATTTCAAGTTTGTACGAATGTTTTTAACCGAATTACAACAAAAAATTCCCAAAATTAAAATGCCTATAAATAGCTCAAAAATTGTCCGAACTTTAAGGAACAAAATTCAAAATACAACACAAAATATCTCTTGTCATTTTTTATTTGAAGCAATATTTCTGGTAGAAAACGTCGTCCGTAATTAATTAATGTTATAAAATCGTGAAATCGTATTACGTTTTTCTCCTTTAACCGCTTTTATTTCGAGTACCGTTTCGAATTTCAGTCATATTCAAATCATATACAATATTACATATCTACATGCGTAGACCAAAAGAAAGAAACTCATTGTTTTAAATCGAAAACGGAAAAAATATTGAAAACACAAAAAAAACTAAATTCAATAAAAATCAGAATTTAACACCTACTGTAAAACCAAGGTCTAAAAAAGAAAGATGAAACTATTATAAATTGCTTTCTAATAAAGCACAATAATTTCACAACACACTAACATCGATTGGATAAAAATGATATAATGGCTATATGCAAATTATATGAATTGAAGTGTAGTCAGCGGCGCCAACAGRGGAGTCAAAGGGCCATTGGGGCACCTGCTGAGAATTTTTTAATACTATAATTAATTTAATGCCACGCATATTAATCATGACTCAATTTTATTGAGATCCATTTATGAAGTTCTATGTAAGTTTATACACAGGTTATACTGTTTTAGAATGAAGATACTAAAAATATATTAAAATTTAAAACAATCTTTTTGATTTGGCTTTTGAATTTTGATCTTGTCCTGGTAGAATTTTATCCTGCAGTCGTTTTCGGGCGTGGATTTTACGGTTAATAATTTATTATTTATATAAACAAAATACAGTAAATATGAGGTTATGGTTATGAGAATTAAACACTGCATATCTGATACAACAATAAAGAGAAGAACATTACAACTATAGTATAAATGTTAAAAAAACATCAACAAACAAAATCTAACAAAATTATATAACTCAATTTTAAGTTATGCATAAATTGATTGAATTGCAAATAATATAATATAATAATTTTTCGTATGTTTTAATAGCATTAACATATTATTGTTTCAAATTAAGAAACAAGCATTGTAATTTGTTCTTGTAAAAGAAAGCTTCGAAAACTGARTTTGTTAAAACAAAACATTGCATGACACCACGGTACAAAAGTCAGGATAGATCAGTCTCTTAGGCTCTTGATTATGTTACTATGATGTTAGTATAACAAGATCCGAGCCTAAACCGGAGTCATTAACATTTTTAAAATTACGACTAATATCATATTAGATAATAATAATAATACAATTTTTATTAATTATTTTAATTTTTTACTGATGATATTCAATTTAAGAGATTCTGACGATTTTGATGGGCTAATACTCCCCTCCGAGACCTCCTACAATTTCCTTACACGTAATTGCCTCTCCTAGAATGAAGACTGCAAACACCTATGCTAATATATAGTTTACCTTTCGAGGATAATTCTTGATATGGGTTCGACAGTAGGTACTAGTTAGGTACTCGCAGTATTGCAATTTACAATTCATAATTGTAAATTTGAAAAAAAAAATAATATAAAATAATATTTTTAATAGTTAACATGTGCAATCGATGGTGAATTTTTGAAAGTAAAATATAATGAATCCTACAAGTTTAAAACATTATGTTTCCCTTTGCTCCTCCTAAATCCCATCGAAAACACGGATTGGAGCTCAAAATTGTTATGACTATACCCAATAGATAGTAATAATATCTGTGTACCTACGCTAGTGATTGTGTGTATATAACATGCGAATAAATTATGCACTACTCACCAATTCCTAATTATATGAGGTATATATAATATTGTATCACATACATCAACAATAATATGGTTATAATACGTCCGTTATCGGCTTCTGCGGTGACGTATCGAGCACCGAGAGAAAAACGTCGGCAGGACGGCGGCGGCTGCAGTCAGAAATCGTAATTTATGTTTTAATTTTTTGTTCTCCATCAAAACTCAATAGGTGCCTATACGAATATATTATAACACCTAATAAACAGTAGACGATCACGTTTCTGCCGGCCTGGCGTACTTATTACAATAATATTATCGTTTCGCGTGGCGCGTACACGCAATCAGCCTATGTACACACAACACATTTTTAAACATTTATACACACTCGAATATTGTGTAGGTACGACGACGAAAGGTCTTCTCCAAACACTCGCTCACTTATCTATATCATTTTTCGTCCGCGCGCCGTGTACCGCCATCATCGACTCATTCGACTCATTCGACTCGTTCATCACAATAACACAAAATATAATATAACATTATTAATGCGTTTATATCATCATGTATACTATATATATATATAATGTATAACTATATAAGTGCCCACTGTTATCGGAGAGTAATAACTACTACACTGACGATCAGCCTTATCGAGTTCGTTCAAATTCGTGTTTTTATTGTGCATACACATTATAAGACGTGTACACTGTACACTGTATAATAAATAATAATAGCGCGCGAGTTTGTAATAACTTATAATAAACAACTTGATAATTCTTCTGCGTTAACGGCATAGATAACAAATAAATAACTTAATAACATCATAATTAGGTATACGATATATCGAAATTATATTTATAATTAAGTACTTAAGTACTACTTATATTTAGGTATACCTACTGTACCTACCACGGTGCATTACCCCTTTATAATTTTTTACATATATTAAAGAATATAAAATACGAATAGGTGATAGGTATGTAAGTAATATTTTTACAATGAGAGTATTTAATTGAGACTGAAGAGATTTATACATGAGAATCGCTCGAAAGGTTAGAGTTGAAGAAGCCGTCCAATAATGGTAACACTTTTTTAAGAACGAAGATGTATAATATAAATATAAATATCCCACAAAACAGTGTAGGCACGACTAGCCACGCAGTATAACTTAATATATAATAATACCTATACATACACATATCCCATACCTATACATAAGTGTACTGCAATAGCACACTCGACAATCCAAGTAACCATCATATTATATTTGTTTTGCAGAACTTAAAGCGCCCAAATAAATAAGTTTTTCAATGATATTCGTTGTATATAGTAGGTATATTATATGATATTATATTATAAAKATGTGTGCTGTGTACCCGATGAGGGACCTGTAAGTACTCTATGAAACATCCACGACTCACGAGTGTCCTCAAATCTAAAATGTTTTCAAAAAAGTAAAAAATAAATACCACATTAAATAGAATAAAGTCAATTAAACTAAAAACTATGSATATTAAACCATATACCTAACCTATTCGTACTATACCTAACTATAGTATTTTTTTTATTATTATTATTACTATTGATCATAAGACCAAAAACTATGGCCATTAATAGGGAGGGAGGAGTTAGTTTGGAACACGTGTTGTATATCTGGCAAGGATTTATTGCTAAAATCCTGGGTGGCTACCCATCCGGAAGATAGGAACACCGGCCGGTACGGCGGTACGTACACGAGGAGCGTTTCCACAATTGAACGTGGAAACAGCCACACCACACCACAAAATAATTATAATGAATGATGACATTCAATTAATACTTCACTGTCACTACTAAAATCGTATTTTATACATACAAAAACTAGAAATATACTAGCATAGGTACCTACTAAAAACGTTTTTTGTATTAAATATTTAAATAATTGCATTAATATTATTTTCATTGCCATTTTTTTCACCTTGATAGTTTTTTAATGTTTTTAATTTATTTAATTCGTTTATAATTTATAACCTAAAGAATATTAAAAACGTGTTAATATAGGAACCAATTACCTACTATCAGAAAATAACTACAGCTATGTGATGGATGTTAAATGAAAATAAGGATTTACTGCAGTGAAAAAAGTAACTTTGAATATTTGCCTCAAAGAATGAAGCTATAACCTACATAAAATTTTTATAGACTATAGGATAACATTTTAAATTAATTATGCATCTATTGTACATATAAGTACAAGGTACATCATCATTAATTGGTATTACCTATATTATATTTTATATGTACGTTAATGTTTTATATTATATAGACAAATATAATAAACATTTGTATACATATTATATATAATATACGATAGTAACTATATATTTTAATAAAAATAAGTACCCCCTTCTCCCCCGTACTATCATAATCAAATCCAAGTATGCCATTACTGCAGTAAATATATCATAAATACTTTATAGTATAGTTATATGTCTTACGTATAATAAATACCTTTTTTTTTCCTGTTCAAAAACCAGGAACGGGTGGGAACTGTTCATCACAAAACTGCCACCCGTCCATGTATCGTGTATTCACCAAATAAGACAATCAATCTATACAAAATTGGGGGCCTCTAACCACCCAAAAACAACAAAAAACACAAAAAGCTGGCCTTCARTCCATATAAAACAACATTTCTTATACTGCCCCTCCACCTCTCGCCTGCTTRACGCGCTCTGCTCGTATAATAAATACCTATACAATGTTTTGATACAGCTCCCACGCAGATCTATAAGCCTACGTAAATAATTATCAATTTATTAAAAAGATGTTTTTACATTTTAACGTTATTACGATAAAAAAAAAAGTTATTACTCCCAGTACAAAGTTCATGCTATTATTTTTATTTCATTGCAATTATCTGGAGGCAATAAATCACCTTCTTTCTCTCGATTGATAAATAATGATTCAGACGGCGTGCGATGGTCCGGTCCGTCGAAGTGTATGAGTGTATCGTGCATACACACATATTAATATTAAAATAAATATATTATGGTGCACGACCTCAGACCGTCTTATTAGTTATTATAATATATTTTCATTTCACCGTTCACTAGCTCGACCGCGAACACTTTTCATTAGACATCATATGCGTATTTCTACTTGAATACTTTTCTGCACATGCATTATATTTTATTTACTCACGTTCATAATAATAAACATGAACTGGGCCATAAGTTATGGRTGGGATTTCAATGAACTATTTTTCTGATGAGAGCTAAATATTAATAGGTATTCGATGCTCCGTGTTCGTTTTGGTAAAAATCTGCAGTTTCACATCTTATTTAATATTACAATATAAGGTACCGAATTTTATTTTCCAATGACTTTTTTCGTTCTTATGACTACAAATTCTTTTTGTGTATAAATTTAAATTAAAAAAAAAAATTGTACTATGCCAAAACTTAAAGATCCGCAAATCACAATTAAAAAGCCTCACGTGAACAAAGTGGTATTAATTTTACATAATTTTGTGTAAAATAAACCACGCGTCGTGTTGAAGTTGTGCATCAATGGTTCTTGAACTCCTGTAGCACCGACGGCGCTCGTCATATTATCCTTGCCACATTTGTTTCTGAATTCAAGCATAATATATATATAAATCGTGATTAGTGATTATTACTGACAGTACCTGCTTACAATATTATAACTTGTGTAACCTGCGACTTGCTTATACTCAACTTATAGCCATCATTACTGATGATAGGCCATTAAAGCCATCGCCCACCGTCTATTGTGTAGGTATATGAGCAAAAAATATAGGAAATCCCGGTTTTGGGAATAAATCCAAAAATAAAAAGATATAATAATACGGTATATTCACTATTCGCGCACACGGCGACAAAGAGATGATCCGATGCAAGTCCGCGTGCACATTATTTCCACATTGTTGAATGTGTTTGGTGTGTGCAATGTYACTGCTGTCCGTTTTGTAACGGAGACAACGTGCAGCTAAATTCGCTGCGTCTGTCATACTAATCGCTATTGTTGTATATAGGTATAGTGGGTAAATTATACCTATATTGAAAATTGTAATGAGTACGTGAGTACGTCATGGTGCGTTACGTATCATATAATTATAATTGAGATCGACTGATCGCAACAAAATAATTGGACACAGACGGCAGTTGTACATAACATAAGACTTTATACACCTAATATTTTGTATTATTATTAAGTTTTTTTCCCGAGCATCATTTCGATTTCCTACAAAGTTCCCCTCTTTCTGGTACGTTTTCTTTCAAAGGCAGCACATAATAATTACGTGATTTTATCGAAAATTCAACATATATATTTTACTATATGTACAGATACGTCATATAGTTTATAATGTATATATATCATTATTAACTATATAAACACTATGTGGACTGAAAATTATAGATAATATAGAACATTGAACTCAGTGTAATAAGTACTAACATTAAACAGGGTGTCTAGTCGTCTCGTTGTCTCTCCGTATTTATCCTTGTTGACCGTAGGTAACTTAATTTAAAATGTGTTGTATTTTTAAAATTATTATTGCAGTACTCTATTAGCGTAAACTAGTTGCCTGGCAGTCAACAGACAATAAATGCACAAGTGTTTTTTACATTTTAAAACGATTAAAAAATTGTAGGTATAAAATTAATATATTTATATAAGTATAATAAATATTTATGTTTATAATTTTAATTATATTAATATATTATTATACAAAATGTTTTTTATATCGGCTAATATTATGTTATTATTTGTATAACTAATGTGTATAATCTATACATATAGCTGATATTTTTTAATTGTACACACATTTCTCAACGCCTAAAAAAATTATTGAATGATCGCATCAATAATTTTAGTAGATATAAAAATTACGCATAAAAATTACGAACTACCCTAGGCAAATAGTGTTTACTTGTATGTTTATTAACGAGATGACGAGACTGCTAATAAGTGAGCACCCTGTAAACATAATTGATATATAGATAGTTATGTATAGTATATAATATAGTTAGGTATCACTTTGATGGATTCGTAAATCATAAGACAAAAAAGGCAAGCCCGCACGATGGGGATGACCTATGGAAACACGACTGGTATCTGGTATATACGTACTATATGTATTATAGTAATAAGCGCCTGGTCGTCTTCGTCGTTCGGTGGTCAGGTGGAAAAATAATGAGCTAATTTCCCAGTATATACCTACAGTGTGCGAACTCATTTCGCGTGTCGTCTCGGGGAAAAAAAAACAAAAATATTTACCTTACATCACAATACAAATTGTCCTCGTAATGATATATAATAATATTGTGAGTATCGTAATAATTAGTAATTATAGTAAACACGTCGGCTGCGTGAAGCCCTGCCTAGCTATAGCTGGATACAATATAAGCACCTACCCACACCGCTGCAATACTACTATAACCTGTGCTATTAA